TTCAAAATGTACTAAAGAATAAAAGATAGCTTCGTTAATAATTTATTCACATTGAATTTTTTGATCGATTTGAGCTTGGGTTTATTAATAATAAATATCAATTTACGTGTTATTTAACTATTTCTAAACCGAGACAAATTCTTTTTGCGTGCATTATTAGTTTGTAAGCTTCTTAATGTGAAGTTCCTTTCGTTTTCTAGTAGTATTAAAACGATAAATCTTTTTAAAAATTATGTATTTTGATTGGCTAATCATCACGGGAAATCACGGGTAGATCTACCAATCATATGAATGTCGTCCTATGACAATAAGGGTCCGTCGCTACGCTCCGGCCAATTATTACATATCAACCACACGCATCTATCAAAATTATCCCCAAGCCTAATAAAATAGAATTATTGCGTCAAACCCATCTCCCACCTTAAAGTCGATCTGCTTATGGTATATATTTATTTATTAAAAATTTTAACACATCCGTCATATATGCATCATAATTTTTAGGTCGCTGCAATGAATCTTATGATTGGTCGGTAGTGTGATAGACGGACGTTAGTGTACTGACCTTTACCGGTTAATCTACTGGATGACTACCGTAAACTGTTGACCCCGTATACCCCTCATGATTTGTATCCGGATCGATTTGAGAGTTAAAATTTTTCTTATATACAAAGGTTACTACAAAAAGCAGTATTTCTATATCTAGAAAATACTAAAATGACGAAGAAAAATGAAAAAAAAATACACCGGGTCATTGTAAATACCCGGATACAAGAGTCAGCAGTTTACGGCATTATTCTATCCGTATCGCCAGTTTATTTGAGACAGATTAGGACGCTGATCTGGTATTTAGGGATCGCACAGTAAAAATCGTGGGCTTAGCGTAACAACATTGCCACTAAATAATTAATGTAAAAGCCCATCCGTGCGATAAGGACTTTAAAATTAATTTTCAGATATTTTTTCATATTAAATTCAATACTGATTTTTAAAAGTTAACATTGTATATAGTTGTGTTTAAATTTTTGAGGGCGTATTTTTTTAGGGTTAATATAGAATTTGGGGCTTTTAGTAGATAGATATATATTATTAAAGTAGGAATCACAAATTTTAGCATCAGTTAATTGTGGTATATAGACTGACACAATTATAATTTTTTAAAAAAGAAAAAATTTTTAACATAAAGTATAAAGATGGATAAATCATATGCTAATCGTTTAAAACTTTGCCTTCGGTCACAGAAAACTCATTGGCTAATCTTATTTCTCGTGATAATGGATTTTTTATGCTTCTTGACGATGACAGCTATATCACTTCTTTGGCCAGAAATTGAACAAAAAGAACATTGGATATTTGAGTCATTAATAATTGTTGCATTCATTATAGATGCGACTTTCTTATTAGAAATCTTATTAAATTTTATCGCATTTGGTCTGGCGTATTTCACAAAAGAACCACATTGGTTTTTACATATATTTGACGCTATTCTGGTTATTACAACATTTTTTTTAGAAATATTCTTACACGGAAAACAACGAGAAATTGTAGGATTATTAATCATATTTCGACTTTGGAGATTGATTAAGGTGGTTGGTACTGTTGCCGTTGGTGTAGGTACATATGAAGAAGAAAAAGAAAAAAAATTAATAAATAAGAATAAACAATTGGAAAAAGAGTTGGAAAGAATGGTAACAGTTGTGGGGGAAATCGCTAAAGAAGATCATTGGAACGATGTGAGAATGGAAAAAGTTTTTCAAGGAAGAGATGTTAAATAGGTCGTTGGATTAGAGTTTCTAATAAGGAAAGACATTTAACAATAAAGGACATGTGCCAATCGAATTCATTCGAATTCACAGATTTTATGATATCTATATTTGTATTTAGTATCTCAAAAACTAGCTAATTAATTGGTATTTTATAACGAAATAATTTCGATTTTAAAACTCGTAATAAAACGGCGACGTTTTATAGGGCTGGAGCCTTACATATTAGGTTCTAAATTTAAAAAAAAATTTAATAAAAATTCATTAATATTTTACAGGTTGTATTAATGTGCATGTGAACATAGGTAATTCATAAAGTCATAAAGAAAGTAACTTCAGTTCTTCAACTAATCTTTGTTGTAAATGTGTACTTTCCCCAATTTTTGTAGCCTAGTGATTTGAACCGAGAAAAATTTTTTTAATCGGTTAACCGACTAATTATTTTATTCAACCGATTTTCAATCGGTTGAGATTATCTCTTCACTTTTCGTTTTATCTTCGAAAATTCTCGGAGCTTTGCTCAACTTGCTCGTCTTTTATGTCATTTTCTTTTCAGAACTTTCGGAACCTTTGCTCCTTCCTTGTATCATTTTCATAATACATCGATCCTGCCAACCAATTACTCAATTATCAATCGGTTAGTCGAAAATTTGGTCGGTTCGGGTCGATTAATCGATTCAAATCACCAGTCTAATAATACTGTGAAGCAAATCCTGAGACCTTTTAATTACACTTTTGTGTCGTGTTATAATTCATATGATAGAATTATTAGACCGACTGTGATGAAGAGATATTATCGCGAGGATCACCTGATCTCATGATCATAGAAGTCACTGAACCTAGTGATGCCAGAATGTCGAATGATTCTTATTGATCTTGCGAGTCTAACGATGAGTATAAATAAGCCACAAAAATCAAAGAGGGAAGTTGTGCTGCTTTTAGTAGTTGCTTGAAAACTTATTTTGTGGCTAATTGAATGGTTCTTCCCACCACCACTCCTAAAAGGAAATAAGTTTAGGTAATTGATTGAACAACATTGATGCTATTCAACACTGAGAAACCATGTGATTATGTTTGAATACAGTACATGAACTCCATGACTTTCTATCTTAGCTTAGCGCTTTTCATACTTAAAATTTGTTCATATATTTTTTCTTGCTTAAACACCTGTTCTTAAATCAGCAACATATTCTAGTCTATATATTGAATAGCAATAAAGAATTTGAATATAATTTGAATATAATTTTTTTTTATTATCGCAGTTTTCAAAATAGTTGAAAATGGGGTATAAAAAAAAAAATTCGAGTATATGGGTATATGGCGTATTCTCATATGCCGGGAATGTGCGATATCTATTATTAACAAACCTATTGAAGATCATATATTAAATCGTATTATGAAGAATTTTTTCATAGCCTGTGACTTTTCCGAAATTTATATAGTAAAAATGCATTTTTTCAAATCGTTAC